ACATAGAACTGTAGACTCACAGAGACGCACAGACTCTCACAGAGATCCATAGACTCTCACAGAGACCCACAGACTTACACAGAGACCCATAGACCACACAGAGACCCGTAGACTCACACAGAGACCTGTAGACTCACACAGCAGAGACACGTAGACTCACACAGAGAGACCCGTAGACTCACACAGAGACCCATAGACTCACATAGAGACCCGTAGACTCACACAGAGACCCATAGACTCACACAGAGACCCGTAGACTCACACAGAGACCCGTGGACTCACACAGCAGAGACCCGTAGACTCACACAGAGACCTGTAGACTCACACAGCAGAGACACGTAGACTCACACAGAGAGACCCGTAGACTCACACAGAGACCCATAGACTCACATAGAGACCCGTAGACTCACACAGAGACCCATAGACTCACACAGAGACCCATAGACTCACACAGAGACCCGTAGACTCACACAGAGACCCGTGGACTCACACAGCAGAGACCCGTAGACTCACACAGAGACTCGTAGACTCACACAGCAGAGACCCGTAGACTCACACAGAGTCTCGTAGACTCACACAGCAGAGACCCATAGACTCACACAGCAGAGACCCGTAGACTCACACAGCAGAGACCCGTAGACTCACACAGCAGAGACCCGTAGACTCACACAGAGACCCGTAGACTCACACAGCAGAGACCCGTAGACTCACACAAAGACCCGTAGACTCACACAGCAGAGACCCGTAGACTCACACAGAGACCCGTAGACTCACACAGAGACCCGTAAACTCACACAGAGACCTGTAGACTCACACAGCAGAGACCCGTAGAGTCACACAGAGACCCGTAGACTCACACAGAGAACCGTAGACTTACACAGAGACACGTAGACTCACACAGAGACCCGTAGACTCACACAGAGATACATAGACTCACACAGAGACCCATAGACTCACACAGAGATCCATAGACTCACACAGAGATACATAGACTCACACAGATACAGAGAATCACAGAGAGACCCGTAGACTCACACAGAGACCCGTAGACTCACACAGAGACCCATAGACCCTCACAGGGACCCATAGACTCACACAGAGACACACAGACTCACACATAGACCCATAGACTTACACAGAGATACATAGACTCACACAGATACAGAGAATCACAGAGAGACCCGTAGACTCACACAGAGACCCATAGACTCACACAGAGACCCATAGACTCACACATAGACACACAAGCTCACACATAGGCCCATTGACTCACACAGAGATCCGTTGACTCACACAGAGATACATAGAAACACAGATACAGAGAATCACAGAGAGACCCGTACACTCACAATGAGACCCGTAGACTCACACAGAAATACATAGACACACGGATACAGAGAATCACAGAGAGACCCGTAGACTCACACAGAGATACATGGACTCACACAGAGACCCATAGACTCACACAGAGATCCATGGACTCACACAGAGACCCGTAGACTCACACATAGCCCCGTAGACTCACACAGAGATACATAGACTCACACATAGACCCATAGACTCACACAGAGACCCATAGACTCACACCCACACATAGACTCACACAGAGATCCGTAGACTCACACAGAGACCCGTAGACTCACACAGAGATAGAGAGAATCACACAGAGACCCGTAGACTCTCACAGAGACCCGTAGACTCACACAGAGATACATAGACTCACACAGATACAGATAACCACAGAGAGGCCCGTAGACTCACACAGAGACCCGTAGACTCACACAAAGATAGAGAGAATCACAAAGAGACCCGTAGACTCTCACAGAGACCCGTAGACTCTCACAGAGATCCGAATACTCATGCAGAAACCCGTAGCCTCTCACAGAGACCCTTAGACTCACATAGAGACCCGTAGACTCACACAGCAGAGACCCGTAGACTCACATAGCAGAGGACTGTAGACTCACACAGAGACACGTAGACTCACACAGAGACCCGTAGACCCACACAGCAGAGACCCGTAGACTCACACAGAGACCTGTAGACTCACACAGTAGTGACCTGTAGACTCACACAGCAGAGACCCGTAGACTCGCACAGAGACGCGTAGACTCACACAGAGATCTGTAGACTCACACAGAGACCTGTAGACTCACACAGATATCCGTAGACTCACACAGAGACCCAGAGACTCACACAGATACAGAGAATCACAGAGAGAACCGTAAACTCACACAGAGAACTGTAGACTCATAGAGACCCACAGACTCTCACAGAGACCCACAGACTCACAGAGACCCGTAGACTCACACAGACATCCATAGACTCACACAGAGACCCGTGGACTCACACAGAGAACTGTAGACTCACAGAGACCCCCAGACACTCACAGAGACCCATAGATTCACATAGAAATACAGAGAACTGTAGACTCACACAGAGACCCGTAGACTCACACAGAGACCCACAGACTCTCACAGAGATCCATAGACTCACATAGATATTCAGAGAACCATTGACTCACAGAGACCCACAGACTCTCACAGAGACCCACAGACTCACACAGAGACCCGTAGACTCACACAGAGACCCGTAGACTCACACAGAGATCCGTAGACTCATACAGAGATCCATAGACTCACACAGAGATACAGAGACCCATAGACTCAAACAGAGACCCGTAAACTCTCACAGAGACCCACAGACTCACACAGAGATCCGCAGACTCACACAGAGATCCATAGACTCACACAGAGACCCGTAGACTCCCACAGAGAACAGTAGACTCTCACAGAGACCCACAGACTCACACAGAGACCCGCAGACTCACACAGAGATCCATAGACTCACACTGAGACCGTAGACTCACACAGAGATCCATAGACTCACACAGTGACCCGTAGACTCACACAGAGACCCGTAGACTCACACAGAGATACAGAGAACTGTAAACTCACACATAGAACTGTAGACTCACAGAGACGCACAGACTCTCACAGAGATCCATAGACTCTCACAGAGACCCACAGACTTACACAGAGACCTATAGACCACACAGAGACCCGTAGACTCACACAGAGACCCGTAGACTCACACAGCAGAGACCCGTAGACTCACACAGAGAGACCCGTAGACTCACACAAAGAGCCCGTAGACTCACAGAGATCCACAGACTCGCACAGAGACCTACAGACTCACAGAAACCCCTAGACTCACATAGCGACCCATCGATTCACCCAGAGACCCATACACTCACCCACCTCCGATTAGCACGGTTGGCTATGTATGGTACGAAAGAAGGTCAACATACGCACATACTACACTATACACTACGATACACTACACTATACAGAACACTATTTGAAAATCCTTTCAAATTTTCTTGCTGTGGCTTTCACACCTGATGATGATTGCTGCTTTGTGTTGCAGTCGAAACGTCGTGAGAATTTTATTGTTTTATATTTTTATTATTTTATTGTTTCCCTTCTACGTGATTTTACCGAAAGAACCAAGAATAAGAGGTGTTTTTTGGTTGGGTTAGGTCGTGTAAGTATAAATGTGTCGTTAATCCCACCACCACCCGACACAACCAAACAGTAAGGGTTCATCACGTAAACAAAACGTGGCCAATTATTTACTTAGTTCAGCACTAACTGGTGTGTGTTGGGGAGTAAACCCGCAACAACGTTTACAATTCAAGTTAACGTGACGTTTCGCTGGTAATCACAATCAGCAGCTTCATCAGGCGGTTAGCCATATGAGGCTGGTTTTAATGAACTAATTGGTCACGTTTTGTTTAAGTGACAACCCCTACACAAATTAGGCTGTGTCGGGGCGGTGGTGGTCGGTTCAACGACACAGCGTTTATACGTACGTAATCTAACCCAAAAAAACAACCCTCTATCATGGATAATATTGGTTAGCGAAAGCCTCTCCCTTACTACTACAAATACGTGTTAAACTAAATAGCATGTGCTGCCCGTGGTCACGTGCATTTGTCTCCAGGTTATTTCTCTCCACACCACTGCCACAGCCTACGCTAGCACCACGGTGGCTAGGAGATGTTAACTACCTCGCCTGGTATGCAGGAGGTCGTGGATTCGACCCAAGCCTGACAATTAATGCTGATGTATATTTGGAGGCTGTGTTTCTCTCTCTCTCATCATCATAGTGGCTAGGAGATGTTAACTACCTCGCCTAGTATGTAGTAGTTTATAGTAGTGTAGTAGTATATAATGTAGTGTAGTAGTATATAATGTAATGTAGTAGTATATAATGTAGTGTAGTATATAATGTAGTGTAGTAGTATATAATGTAGTGTAGTAGTATGTAATGTAGCATAGTAGCATATTGTAGTGTAGTTTATAATGTAGCGTAGTAGAATATAATGTAGTGTAGTCATATATAGTTTTGTAGTAGTATAGTAGTATACAATGTAGTGTAGTAGTATGTAATGTAGCGTAGTAGTATATAGTAGTGTAGTATATAATGCAGTGTAGTAGTATATAATGTAGTGTAGTATATATTGTAGTGTAGTAGTATATCATGTAGCGTAGTAGTATATAATGCAGTGCAGTCATATATAGTTTTGAGTAGTGTAGTAGTATATAATGTAGTGTAGTAGTATGTAATGTAGCGTAGTAGTATATAGTAGTGTAGTATATAATGTATTGTAGTAGTATATAATGTAGTGTAGTAGTATATAATGTAGTGTAGTAGTTTGTAATGTAGTGTAGTAGTATATAGTAGTGTAGTATATAATGTAGCGTAGTAGTATATAATGTAGTGTCGTAGTATATAATGTAGTGTAGTATATAATGTAGTGTAGTAGTGTATCATGTAGCATAGTAGTATATAATGCAGTGTAGTCATATATAGTTTTGAGTAGTGTAGTAGTATATAAAGTAGTGTAGTAGTATATAATGTAGTGTAGTAGTATATAACGTAGTGTAGTAGTATATAATGTAGTGTAGTAGTATATAGTAGTGTCGTATATAATCGTGTAGTATATAATGTATCGTAGTAGTATAAAATGTAGTGTAGTCATATATAGTTTTGTGGTAGTGTAGTGGTATGTAAAAGAGTGTACAATGTACAGGAGTAAATTTGGGACTTGCAAACAGATCAACTTACAAACACAGACCTCTGGTACCCGACTCGTGCGGCTGTTTACATCTCCACTGACCGCTGATTTCCCGCCCGTCCGCCCCGCATCTCGACATTGTTGTTCTTTCAGGAAAGGGCTTCTGCATCAACTATTGGAGCGTGAGGCCCGTCACGAGCACCAAGGGTGAGTCTCGACGAGCAGAGACACCTTCATGTCGCGGTCTCAGTGGGGGTAATTTTTTAGTTTTACTTGGTTACGGTAACCTGGTTATGGTAACTTGGTTATGGTAACTTGGTTACAGTAACTTGGTTACTTTGTTACGGTAAACTTGGTTATGGTAACTTGGTTACCGTAACCTGGTTACGGTAACTTGGTTATGGTAACTTGGTTACGGTAACTTGGTTACTTTGTTATGGTAAACTTGGTTATGGTAACCTGGTTACGGTAAACTTGGTTATGGTAACCTGGTTACATTAACCTGGTTACTTTGTTATGGTAAACTTGGTTATGGTAACCTGGTTACATTAACCTGGTTACTTTGTTATGGTAAACTTGGTTATGGTAACCTGGTTAGGGAACCTTGGTTATGGTTAACTTGGTTATGGTAACTTGGTTACGGTAACCTGGTTACGGTAACCTGGTTACTTTGTTATGGTAAACTTGGTTATGGTAACCTGGTTAGGTAAACCTGGTTATGGAAACTTGGTTAGGGTAAACCTGAACATTAAACCTGGTTACGGTAAACCTGGTTATGTTAAACTTGGTTACAGTAAACCTGGTTACAGTAAACCTGGTTATGGTAAACCTGGTTACAGTAAACCTGGTTATGTTAAACCTGGTTACAGTAAACCTGGTTATGTTAAACTTGGTTAGAGTAAACCTGGTTATGGTAAACTTGGTTATGTTAAACCTGGTTATGTTAAACCTGGTTATGTTAAACTTGGTTACAGTAAACCTGGTTATGTTAAACCTGGTTATGTTAAACCTGGTTATGTTAAACCTGGTTATGTTAAACCTGGTTATGGTAAACCTGGTTACAGTAAACCTGGTTACAGTAAACCTGGTTAGAGTAAACCTGGTTATGTTAAACCTGGTTACGGTAAACCTGGTTAGAGTAAACCTGGTTATGTTAAACCTGGTTATGTTAAACCTGGTTATGGTAAACTTGGTTACAGTAAACCTGCCATCTGCCGTCTGCTGTCTGCAGCCTGCGGTGTGAAGGGGTTCCAGTCACCGGCTCCCTGGGCGGCTGCGGTGGTGCAGTACAACGCGACGCTGTGCCACGCCACGCTTGTCAAGCCCTCTTGGTTCCTCGCGACCGCCGGCTGCGTCAACCTGCTCGTAAACAGGTCGGGGTGCAGGCCGCGGTGTGAGTCTATGGGTCTCTGTGTGAGTCTATGGGTCTCTGTGTGAGTCTATGGGTCTCCGTGTGAGTCTATGGATCCCTGGGTGAGTCTATGGGTCTCTGTGTGAGACTTTGGGGCTCTGTGTGAGTCTATGGGTCTCTGTGTGAGTCTATTGGTCTCTGTGTGAGTCTATGGGTCTCTGTGTGGGTTTTTGTGTCTCTGTGTAAGTCTATGGGTCTCCGTGTGAGTCTATGGGTCTCCATGTGAGTCTATGAGTCTCCGTGTGAGGCTATGGGTCTCTGTGTGAGTCTATGGGTCTCTGTGTGAGTCTACTGGTCTTAGTGTGAGTCTATGGGTCTCTTTGTGAGTCTATGGGTCTCTGTGTGAGTTTATGGGTCTCTGTGTGGGTTTTTGTATCTCTGTGTGAGTCTATGGGTCTTTGTGTGAATCTATGGGTCTCTGTGTGAGTCTATGGGGCTCTGTGTGAGTCTATGGGTCTCTGTGTGAGTCTATGGGTCTCTGTGTGAGTCTATGTGTCTCTGTGTGAGTCTACTGGTCTCTGTGTGAGTCTATGTGTCTCTGTGTGAGTCTACTGGTCTCTGTGTGAGTCTATGGGGCTCTGTGTGAGTCTATGGGGCTCTGTGTGAGTCTATGGGGCTCTGTGTGAGTCTATGGGGCTCTGTGGGAGTCTATGTGTCTCTGTGTGAGTCTACGGGTCTCTGTGTGAGTCTATGAGTCTCTGTGTGAGTCTATGGGTCCCTGTGTGAGTCTATGGGGCTCTGTGTGAGTCTATGGGTCTCTGTGTGAGTCTATGTGTCTCTGTGTGAGTCTACTGGTCTCTGTGTGAGTCTATGTGTCTCTGTGTGAGTCTATTGGTCTCTGTGTGAGTCTATGGGGCTCTGTGTGAGTCTGTGAGGCTCTGTGTGAGTCTATGGGGCTCTGTGTGAGTCTATGGGGCTCTGTGGGAGTCTATGGGGCTCTGTGGGAGTCTATGTGTCTCTGTGTGAGTCTACGGGTCTCTGTGTGAGTCTATGGGTCTCCGTGTGAGTCTATACGTCTCTGTGTGAGTCTATGGGACTCCGTGTGAGTCTATGGGTCCCTGTGTGAGTCTATGGGGCTCTGTGTGAGTCTATGTGTCTTTGTGTGAGTCTATGTGGCTCTGTGTGAGTCTGTGTTTCTGTGTGAGTCTACTGATCTCTGTGTGAGTCTATGAGTTTCTGTGTACGTAAGTCTGTGGATCTCTGTGAGTCTATTGGTCTCAGTGTGGTGAGTCTATGAGTCTCTGCTGTGTGAGTCTATGTGTTTCTGTGTGAGTCTACTGGTCTCTGTGTGAGTCTATGGGACTCTGTGTGAGTCTATGTGGCTTTTTGCGAGTCTATGGGTCTCTGCTGTATGAGTCTATGGGGCTCTGTGTAAGTCTGTGGGGCTCTGTGTGAGTCTATGGGTCTCTGTGTGAGTCTATGGGTCTCTGTGTGAGTCTTTGGATCTCTGTGTGAGTCTATGGGTCTCTGTGTGAGTCTCTGTGTCTCTGTGTGATTCTATATGTCTCTGTGTGAGTCTATGGGTCTCTGTGTGAGTCTAATCGTCTCTGTGAGTCTATTGGTCTCTGATGTGAGTCTATGGGTCTCTTTGTGAGTCTACTGGTCTCTGTGTGAGTCTATGGGGCTCTGATGTGAGTCTATTGGTCTCTGTGTGAGTCTATGTGTCTCTGTGTGAGTCCACTGGTCTCTGTGTGAGTCTACTAGTCTCTGTGTGAGTCTATGGGTCTCTGTGTGAGTCTATGGGTGTCTGTGTGAGTCTATGGGTGTCTATGTGAGTCTATGGGTCACTGTGTGAGTCTACTGGTCTCTGTGTGATTCTATGGGTCTCTGTGTGAGTCTATGGGTCTCTGATGTGAGTCTATGGGTCTCTGTGTGAGCCTACTGGTCACTGTGTGAGTCTATGTGTCTCTGTGTGAGTCTACTGGTCTCTGTGTGAGTCTATGGGTCTCTGTGTGAGTCTATGGGTCCCTGTGTGAGTCTATGGGTCTCTGTGTGAGTCTATGGGTCTCTGTGGGAGTCTACTGGTCTCTGTGTGAGTCTATGGGGCTCTGTGTGAGTCTATGGGTCCCTGTGTGAGTCTATGGGGCTCTGTGTGAGTCTATGGGTCTCTGTGTGAGTCTATGGTTCTCTGCTGTGAGCCTATGTATGTACGTTGAACTTATTTTGTACGTAGCCAACCGTGGCTAATCGGAGGTGCGCCGGGGGAACTAAACACAACAAACGAGACCGTGAGAAGAGAGAAAGAGACGCAGATTACAAATATACATCAGGGCTCAGGATCGAACCCACGACCTCTAGCATACCAGGCGAGGTCGTCAACGTCTCCCCAGCCACCGCTGCACGGCAACAAAAGTTCGTCGCGAATAAAGACGTCGTTGGCTGCCGCCGATTTCAGGAGCGACCCGCAGCCCCCGAGTGTCCGGCTGAGCGGTGGCGTGGACCTGCGGGTGCTGAGCTACACCGTTCACGACCGGTACAACGCAGCACTGCTGAAGGTCGCCACTCCCGTGACCAACAGGAGCCCGGCCTGCCTGCCAGACTACCAGCGGCCTACGCACTACTCCGGGAAGACCTGCTTCATCGAAGGTGATCCCGCCTACTCGCTTACTCCCTCCGCTACCCTCTCCTCTCATCCCCTCTCCTTCCCTCCCTTCCCCTCCCCTACCGTCTTTTCCTTTTTTTACGATAAGAGGAAACAAGAAGATGCTCGGTGTAGTCGGCACTTTGCTTCGTTTATCATTTCGTTTTCTTCTTTAATGCTCTGCTTTATGTAACCCCCCCCCCCCCACCCGCCCGTTTGAAATGAAAGATTTCACGAAAGATTTCAAGCTCTGCTCTCCTTACCTCTTCCCTCTCTCTCTACCACCTCTCTCTACCTACCCCCTCTCTCTACCTACCCCCTCTCTCTACCTACCCCCTCTCTCTACCCCCTCTCTCTCTACCCTCTCTCTTTCTCTACCTACCCCCCTCTCTCTACCTACGCCCTCTCTCTCTACTCCATGTCCTTGTTCCCCCTATGTTTTATATGTAATATTTGTAATATTATTATGTATTTTTAACTACGACAAGTGCTGCATCGGCACGCAGCCCTTCCCGCAGTGCTACGGCCTCCGACGGGTAGCTCACAATCTGCACGCAGAGCTCTCCGTCATCTGCCACCGAGCCACACGGCCCTCCTCCAGCGCCCACCGCTCCTTGAAGGGCCGGCACGGCGTGGGTCAGCCGCGCACGGCGGAACTCCGGCCCACACACCCTGGCTCTGGTCGGAAAGCGCGGAAGACGCCCAGGCCGCCTGGCCGGACGTTTCCCCTCCAGGGCCACCTTCCTCGCCCTGTGCACGGCGAGCTTGGCGTGGCCGACGAGCACGTTGACAGGGCCCCTGAAGATGTTGGGGTCCGTCGCCCTTCGGGTATCCGAAGATGAGAGGACCGTCGGGGAGAAGTGGAGGCTGAACCTTAGGAGGATGTTTTCTCAGGGACCTTGAACACAGCGAGTCCAGGCTCTTGCGCCCCGCGTATCGGCGCGCCACCGTCTCCGCTTTACCGCAGGACCGGCGCTCCGGGGACGTGTCGGTGAAGCCTCCGCTCCCTTCCCCTTCCGTCTCCCTTCCCCTTCCCGTCCCCTCCCATTGCTTCCGCCGCCGCTGCTGCCCGTGCGTTGGTAACGACTTGGGGGGGTATTCAAAGCCAGGATCATCGGCGCTCTCGCTTCACCTCGGCCGGGTAACATTTGAAACATTTTTGTTCGATTCTCTGCCCTCCCTTCGCGTTGGCCAGCACTCGACCAGAGGCAGATGCAGGTGCAGATGGCCACGGAGGGCAGCTGCGGAGTTTCCAGCATCTCAAGCCAAAAGATCTGCACCCAGCCTCCTAGGAGCTGCGTGGTGCCATTGCCGGTGAGTCTAGAATAGTGTACACTACACTATACACTACACTATACACTACACTATACACTACTATACACAACTATACACTACACTACTATACACTACATTATACACTACACTATACACTATACTACTATACACTACACACTACACTACTATACATTACACACTACACTACTATACACTACACACTACACTACTATACACTACTATACACCACACTACTATACACTACACAATACACTACACTATACACTACACTACTATACACTACTATACACTACACTATACACTACTATACACTACGCTACTATACACTACACACTACAATATACACTACTATACACCACACTACTATACACTACACTACTATACACTACACTATACACTACACTACTATACACTACACTGCTATACACTACTATACACTACACTATACACTACACTACTATACACTACTATACACTACGATACACTACACTACTATACACTACTATACACTACACTACTATACACTACTATACACTACACTATACACTACACTATACACTAAACACTACACTATACACTACTATATATACTACACTATACACTAAAATATACTACACTATACACTACACTACACACTACACTATAGACTACACTACTATACACTACACTACTATACACTACACTATACACTACACTATACACTACTATACACTACACTACTATACACTACACTACTATACACTACACTACACCACTATACACTACGATACACTACGATACACTACACTATACACTACAATACTATACACTACAGTATACACTACACTATACACTACAACACTACACACTGCACTTTACACTACTATACACTACGATACACTACACTATACACTACACTACTATACACTACACTATACACTACACACTACACTATACACTACACTACACACTACACTATACACTACACTATACACTACACTATGCACTCCACTATACACTGCACTACACACTACACTACATACTACACTATACACTACACTATACACTACACTACACACTACACTATACACTACACTGTACACTACACTATACACTGCACTACTATACACTACACACTACACTATATACTACACTATACACTACACAATACACTACTATACACTACACTATACACTACACTATACACTACACTACACTATACACTACACTACTATAGACTACACTACTAAATACTACAGTATACACTACTATACACTACACTGTACACTACACTATATACTACAATATACACTACACTATACACTTCACTATACACTACACTACTACACTACACACTACACTATACACTACACTACACACTGCCCCATCACCGATTTGGAGTTGTGGGGGTGGAGTGTCCGATGGTACAAAATACCCAGGCAGGTGCTTAGTTTTGGTGGGCCTGATGGTAAGGCCCCATCTCTTAGTAGCATGCTCCAGTCTCAGCAGCAGCGTCTACAACTCCTTCTCTGAATGAGCAGCTATTACCAAATCATCAGCATACATAACGTGGTTGAGCAATAGGGAGCCATCCCTTGACCGCACCCGGGCATCGATCAGCCTCCCATTATATCTGTACCATATGGAGATTCCCCCGGTACAGCTATTGAAGGCTTCACGAACTACGTGGTCAAAATAGATGTTAAATAATGTGGGAGCCAGAGGACATCCCTGTCGCACCCCAAGGTGTACAGGGAATGGCTCTGACTCCCGGCCACGTAGTTTTACCTGGGCCCGCTCACCATCATGAAGGTCCTTAATGATCGTGAGCAGAGGGTCAGGTACTCCAAAAGCACGAAGAACAACCCAGAGCCCAGGCATACTGATGGTATCATAGGCCTTGCCCAGGTCAACAAAGCAGAGATGTAGGTCTTGTTGGAATTCCCTACACCTCTGCTGTAGCAGACGGACAGAAAATATGGCATCTGTGCAGGACCACCCTTTCCTGAAACCGCATTGGGGCTCCGCAAGCCTCTCCTCAGCGTGCCTGGCAAGGCGATGCTGAATAATCCTTGCCAGGACCGTTCCCGGCACACTGAGGAGTGAGATGCCCCTGTAGTTGTTACAGTCTGTGCGGTCCCCCTTTTTAAAAAGGGGGACCACCAGGGCATCCTTCCAATCCTGCGGAACTCGTCCAGTGGTCCAGACTGTTGTTATGATGTCATATAGGGCAGTCTGTGCACAAACGCCACCCTCCCTCAGCATTTCGCTTGGGAGATCATCTCTGCCCGCTGCCTTTCCTGGTCACAGACTCCGGATAGCCTTCAGTACTTCCTCAACAGATGGCACCTCAGCCAGCCACTCACAGGGGGTGACTTCTTCCAATATTTGAGGCAACGCAGTCTCACTTTGTGCCATGATGTTTTCCTGGCTGAGGGGTTTTCCCTCCCCCAGGACCTCACTGAAATGCTCAGCAAATCTGCAAACCTGTTCCTGGGGGTCGGAGATTGGATCACCGTTTTTTCCCCTAATGATGGTAATAGGTGTGGCGCTGCAGGTTACTTTTTTGATGGAGTTAAATAGAGATTTGTGATCGCGGGCCACTGAGGCAGACTCCATCTCCTCAGCAACCCGCAACCACCACCCATCCTTGCAGCGCCTCACGGCTCTCCGAACCTCCGAGCGAAGGCTACGGTAAGCCTCCTCATTCTCTGACGTGGGATTCTGTAGCCGATGACAGTGGGCCTGTCGCTTTTTCTCAACCATCCTGAACACGTCCTCTGTCAGCCAGGGTCTCTGGGGAGGTCTGGACCGCGTACCCAAACTAGGCATTGCAGCTGCATGAGTCACAGTCCTAAACCTTGCCCATTTACCCTCGACATCAGGAGGAGTTGGGTACGATGCCAATCCCAGCCGCAAGCGATGATGAAATTCTCGCTAGCAAATTTCATCAGATAACTAAGACCAGGCCACTTTAGGTTGGAATGGGGTCCTGGGTGTACACCCACCACCGGAGTGGAAGAATGGCAGGCGCATCTTACAGATGACTAGTCGATGGTCAGAGGGCAGATCAGCTCCACGGTAGGTCCTGGTGTCAAGGACATGGGCTTGCATCCGCTGGTCCGTCACTATGTAGTCCAGCAGATGTTCTTGCTTGGACCTGGCATGCATCCATGATGTTGTGTGGATGCGCCGATGCCGGAACAGTGTGTTGGTAATTACAAGCCCATGGGCTACACAAAAATCTAGCAGCCTCCTACCATTGTTATTGAGCTGATCTGGCCCATGCCCTCCAATCACTCCAGACCAGGTGCCAGCACCATGACCAACTCGGGCATTGAAGTCACCCAACATGATGACTCTATCCCGAGGGGCCACTTTAGCCAGCACCTGTGACAGGAGGTCATAGAAGGCATCTGACTCATCGGCTTTGCCTGTATCCCTCCACGGATGTTCATCTTCGGTGGGGGCATAAGTGACCACGACCACCATTCCTCGCCTGCGGTTGATGGGAAGGCGAGCCCAAAGTAGCCTGGGGCTTACAGCTTCCCACACCTCACCGCCACGCTCCCACGCCCCCTTCATTCTTTTATTCAAAAGAAGAGCCACACCCTGTTGTTTGGCAGTCTGCTGCCCCGAGTAGAGGACTGTCCACCCCTCATGGTGGCAGGAGCCAGAACCGGTCCACCGGACCTCCTGACTGCCACATAGATCCAGGCGGTACCGGTCCAGCTCCCGACAGAGGAGTGGCAGCCTCTCCTCCGCAGTGAGCGTTCGAACATTCCACGTCGCCACCCGTAGTGGTTTTCCTTGTGTCTGGAGGAGCCCCGAGGGTAGATATTCAATCTCCTGGCTCCTCCAATTGGGGTTTGGCCAGGAGACGTCATAGACGCCTGGCCCTCCGGGGCCTCCGGCACAAGCTTATTAGATATATACTTAATTCGCGGTTTAGTGGTAATTAATTGACGGTGGAGGGGTTACCAGCCCCTCGCACCCGTCCAGAGCCCCCGTTTAGCCCCTGTGGTGGACACAGATGCCATGAGGGGAGGAGCCAATCGAAATTGGACCTCCCCCCACAGCACTGTCATACACACACTCACTCATACACACTCACTCATACACTCACACAAGTGCTGTTAGCGAGCACCTATGAAGGCCGGAACAGCACACGAGGGGGTGGGTTGCCAGCACCACGCCCGACCGCCTTTGTCTCCCCAGTGGTGATATTCCTACACCGCACCTGGGTACTCATTTGAGGCTGAGTCGACCAAGGGGAGGCCCGGGACCGGTTCAGATAATCGTCACTGGTGCTGTTGGCCGTGAGCTGGGATAGAACCCGGGTCGCCGGGTTCGTAGTGCAGCGTAGC